AAACCTCGATAACAGTGCCATGGTTCAGTAATTTCTTCTCTAGTTATAGAGGAGGATGAGGTTCTTGTGGTTGCTGCTGCAGCAGGGTATCTCATATTGAGAATGGCAGTGGATACTGGCTGGGGAACAAGTGCTCTTTATCAGAGGAAGTACTTATAACTTCTGGAAGTCACTGCTGTTGTCTCCTGGTAGTTGCTTGCTGCTCCTGATGGTCACTTGGCCCTCTGATGCTCTCCTGGGCAGGTTGCTTGGGCCCCTGACACTCTGCTAGGCAGGCTACTTGGGTCTCTGATGCTCTCCTATGTGGGTTGCTTGGGCCTCTTTGTTTTTAAAACCAGTATACAAAGTAATGGTTTCATTGTGGCATTTTCATACATACTTTGTCTTTTTGGTCTTCCTCTCCCACTTTCCCAGCCTCCTTCCTTGATGTGAGCACACAAGTATTATACAGTAAACATACAGCTGACTAATCTATAGTCAGATCCATGGGAGTGTACACTTCATATGGAGAACCTAATTTGCAGAGCTTCAGGAACATTTGTCTCTTAGATGGTCACTTTCAATTCTGTAGAAATCTTGTGAAATCATGACATTTTCCCCTTCTATAATATCCCAGCAGTGTATAAATCATTCTTTACATCTGACTTTTTCTGTACTGGTAAATGGATGACTTCTCCGACACTACAGGGCTCTCTCTGGTGTGAAAGTATTCAGTCAGCCAAACATTTGTTCTCATAATTAAATCTACATAAAGCCTGTCCCTCACAAATATCCTACTGACAAGGGCTAATTGACAAGGAAGGAGCCTACGCAGGAGGCACTGAGCTGAGTGACAGAAAAAGGTCTGGGTGATCCTGAATTCTCTAGCACAAGATTCAGGAAGGTGTAATTTACTGGCCTTTTGATCTATCCTAACATGCTATTAATATTTTTGATTTACCCTTTACCTTGGTTTCAATTAACATAAGATCATAGCCCAGGAAATTAACTGTTTGTTTTTTTTCTTCCCCGGGATACAGAAAAAATGCTTGAGTCACTAAAACAGCCCCAGAAGAAGAAATTCCTTCTTACCTGGGTGCTGGCAGGTACCCAACTAGAGCTGGAAACAAAGTCTCCAAAGAAATTCCTTTTAACTCAGCTAGCTAGATGCTCATGCAAATCAAGTACCTTTGCCTTCCTCCCAGCTGCCAGAGAAGGAAGTGCTCAGAAAGTCTAACAGCACTGCTGCATTTTCTACAATTATTAATGATAAACTTATAGCTTAATTAGTTAAACTTAAGAAATGTAGTTAGTGCAAGAAAAATTCTTAGAGTTTTATATTGATTCTTAATTAACTCTCCTGGTATCTGCCTGGTGTCTCACAGTCACGCCCTCTCTGAGATGCAAGGCGCTTCCTTGCCAGATTCACCAGGTTTTTGTGATTCTGTGAAATGCAAGCTTGTTAACTTTGTCGGTATATAAACTAGAAACCATGTGGGATGGAGAAGAGCAGTGAAAGAATGATGAACAGCAAGGAGGAACATCAAAAGGAAAACATCAAGAGAGCATAGAAATAATAAACGAGACTTGATAAGACTTATGTGAGCTAATTTATTTTATTTACCCTCAGATATCTGTAGCCAGTTTTCACCTGCTATAGTGATCCTTATGAATCCTGAGAGGTTTAATGGGCTTAACCCCAACATAAACCTTGATACTTCTTCCAGCTTCTTTTGCTTCTTGTCACATAGTCAATTGCCCTTTCCCCTTCTCCTCAACCCTTCTTTAAGACTTTGTCCCCTTCCCTTAGTTCCTTCCTAGTTTAATGGTCTATACATGCGGACCGGCGGGTACTGGCGCAGTGCCCAAAGAAAATCATATAGGCATCCTCCTGAATATTAACCTTCATCAGGCGATGAAAGGAGACAGAGACAAGAGACCCACATTGGAGCACCGAACTGAAATCTCAAGGTTCAAATCAGGAGCAGAAGGATAGAGAGCACAAGCAAGGAACTCAGGACCGCGAGGGGTGCACCCACATACTGAGACAATGGGGATGCTCTATCGGGAACTCACCAAGGCCAGCTGGCCTGGGTCTGAAAAAGCCTGGGTTAAAACCGGTCTTGCTGAACATAGCGGACAATGAGGACTACTGAGACCCCTATTGGTTTTGTGGGAGCCTAGGCAGTTTGGATGCTCACCTTACTAGACCTGGATGGAGGTGGGTGGTCCTTGGACTTCCCACAGGGCAGGGAACCCTGATTGCTCTTTGGCTGACGAGGGGGGGGGGACTTGATTGGGGGATGGGGAGGGAAAGGGGAGGCGGCGGTGGGGAAGAGACAGAAATCTTTAATAAATAAATAAAAAAATATAATTAGCGTTGTCTAGGCTGATGGAATCATACTTGGAAGGTGAGGGAGTTATTTTTCTCTCTTGGGATGGATGCCTCTGCAGCCTGGTCACTTAAAAAAAAAGTGAGGTGCATGCCTTTAATCTCAGCACTTGAGGGGCAGAAGCAGGCAGGTCTCTGAGTTTCAGGACAGAATGGTCTATATAGCAAGTTTAAGGCCAGCCGGGAATACGTAATTACACAGCAAGACTCTGTCTCAAAATACATAAAAAGGTTAAAATGCAAAAGAGGTTCGTCTGTAGCAAAATTTTATCAATAAATAACTCCCATCTATTTATCTAAAAAAAATGGTCTATACACACAAGCACACACACATAAAAATTAAAATTGAGGATTCATCTGTGTTGTGGTTTAAATGTAAAAATTTTCCTACAAGTTTGCCTGTTTGAATACTTGGTTCTCTTTTGCTATTGCTATTTTTGAAGGTCATAGAACCTTTAGGAGCTGGAGCCTCTCTGGAGGATGTAAGCAACTGGGTTGGACTCTGAGTACTTTGTAGGTACATTGGGACCAACTGCCTCACATTCCTGATGTTGTCTCCCTCAGTTGTTTGTCTGGCATTCCACAGCAGCAACAAGAACAGTAACTAATGCAGCGTGTGAAAGTAAACGTGCCATTTCTGATTCTAGGCTACTTTGTTTAACATAACAATTTTTTCATTTTCCTGCAAATGTCTTATTTAAGACTGTGCTTATAATATCTTTTTTAGCCATTTATTAGTTGAAGGTTATCTAGTATGTGTCTTTCCTTTTTTTTATTCTGAAGAGACTAGCATTAAACATGGTTGTGCAACTATTTCTGTGGCAGGACTTGGGGTTCTTTAGGTATTTACTCAGGTGTGGTACAGTTGGTCACTGACTTCCATAGTGACTGGACCTTATCCTCACCAACATTTTCTGTTATCTGTTTCCTTCATGTTGGCCAATCAGCTTGGGGTGGAATCTCAGTGATTTGGATTTTTTTTTTCAAGACAGGGCTTCTCTGTAGCTTTGGGGCCTGTCCTGGAACTACCTCTTATAGACTAGATCTGCCTGCTTCTGCCTCCCAAGTGCTGGGATTAAAGGCGTGATCCACCACCATCCGGCTCTTGATTTTCATTCCAATGATGACTACAGATGTTGAACACTTTTAAAATTGTTCACTGGTCGGTCATTTGTGCTTCTTCTTTTGAGAGCTGTCTGTTCATCAGCCCATTTACTGATGAAAAGATTTGAAGTTATTCGTTTTGTATTTACCTTTTGCAGTTTGTTTTGTACTTACCTTTTGCAAGTTTTCTTTTTAAAAGATATCCTAGATTTCAGGCCTGTCTGAAACATGGCTGGAGAAGATTTTCCTTCATTCTGCAGTCTGTCTCTTCAATCTACTGACTGTTTTCTCCAGTCTACTTTTTTATTTCATATATTTTTATGGGTCAATGTCTGTGGTTGTAACAGCATTCCTATTTATTATGCAATGCAGAGTCATGAGTGATAGAAACTAACAGGGCTTTCCCAATGATGGCATTTGACCCTTATTCCAAGTCTTCTCCTTACAGTGCTAGGGATGAAGTGAGTCTTCTGTAGGCTCTCTGCCATTGAGCTATACCCCTGCCCAAGCAGCAAACCTTAATTAACACTTGAAAAACAGGACGTGTATAGAATTTAGTCTGTAAGTATTCCTAAATGTGAAGACTGCTTGAGTCCAGTGCCTGTCTTCCATCTCAGACCTCCACAATTTAAGTGCAGATAACACTGGGGCCTAGTAGCTTGTCTAAACCACACAGAGAGTATAGTGAGGTGTACAGATAGGTACACCGAGGATGTTTTCCCTGGCCATGAAAACAACATGATCTTAGGCATGCAACATTAGTTCATGGGGCTCTATGTGTGAAATTACACTCTATGTATGTTCCACCATTTTACCAGGAAGACCTTGGGAGGTGAGAATAATAGTAGTGAATAGAATTTAAGTTCCTCACTTGAACACTTCCACAGTGGACTCTCGAGGGGCAAGATAAGGAGTGTGAGGTACTTTTAGGCTCACGGGGGAAGGTTCTTTGCCAGGTCAACAAATGGCCAGAAGTTTACTTTTGCATTTCATTCAGCATATGTATTATGATTTTGGAACTGAACTTAGGAAAAACAGACTTTGCAAGTGGCATAGAGTGGGTTTCTATCTTGCATCACTTGCTGCTTTTGACTGAGGTGGCGCCTTAGCCTCATGTCTGCTCTGGTGTGGGTCTGACAGAGCCTGATCACACATCAGCCAAAAACCAGTGCCTTCCATACATCCAGATTCAGGTGCTCTGTTCTTCCTGACAGATGTTTCTCCATCACCCTTGCTCCACAAAAACAGAACAAAAGCACATCCTGAGTCAACACTTTATATTATGTCACAGGCAGTGGCTGGGGGAGGGCTCATGGCACAGCCTACTTGAAGGGCATCAAGATGTTCTCAGACTTGGATTCCAGTACCAAAATGTGCAAGGGTATTTCTAGATGCTTCATGCAATTCACTGTTCTGAAGAAATAACACACACTCACACGTGTGTAATGCACACCCACACATGCACCCACACGCATACATACATGCACATACACACACATGTACATATAGCTGGACAGAGGAAATCTAAAGAGAAACTCCATGAGATTTTATTAGTACCATTATTGTATTCTTTGGCTTTATGTATTATATAGGTAAAATTAAAAAAGGAAAATGATTGTAAGAGGGAAATATTTTGTACAAAAATACAATGTTTTAAAAGCTCTTTAAGTATATTTCATATCATTACTAGAAGGTGGCCTATATATCTGTACGCCTGCATATTCTTCCTACATTTGGGATTTCAGAAATGCACGGTTTACACAGAGCCTGGAACTCAACAACCATGATAGTCTTTTCCTGATTGGAGCATTCCACATTCAGGAATATATAATTTTCAAAAAATGTATGGTTAATGGCTGAGAAAAATCTATGTGATTCGGTCCATTTGCACACTGGAAATCAATGTATCAACTTGGGGGAGCATTTTCGCTCCCTAGTCCTTGGGTCATAGTGCAGTAGTGTGTCCATTTGTTTTCAATAACTGGTTTCAGTGTTTTCCCATCCAATCTGGTGAGACAGTGATGGAATTAGAAAGGAGTCTCCTTCACCTTTTGGAGGTTTCTGAAAACATGTTCCTGCTGTTACATCACACTGTGTTATAATGTGGATGACGGTACTATAAGAGAAAAATAATGATGGGTGTTAATTTGGTTTGAGGAATACATTTTTTTATCACTTAAAACAGGAGGAGTCTTTAGGAAAGATATCATTCAAAGAAGAATATTGGGAAGTTTTTCTTCAGATTAAGTAAAAGTTACATTTCATTTGAAGGGCCAAGTCTAGGGAGTACTGTTCCCTACTCAACTCTCTCATGAGCAAACAAGATAAACATACATTGCCTGGTTGTTATCGTCAACTGTAATCCCGTGTTTAGTGATCTGTGCTTCTGCCCGCAGCTAAGCAGACAGTTTGTTCCTTATTTGATTGATATCCCTAGCACTCACACTATTTAAAACATCAAAAGTACTCAGTACCTATCTTGAATGTGTATATGAGTAATTTGAATCCCAGTACTTCCAGAAATAATGTGAACAAAGTCTAATTAGGTTTCTTTTTACCCCTAATTATCAAAATTAGCTTTATTGAACCCTAATGCACAAATTTATGAAGATTACTGATGAAAGTAAACTTCAGTTGACCTTAGCATATTTCTTTCTTTTTAATTTTATTTTTATAATTGAATATGAGTGCTTTGCCAGCATGTATGTCTTTGCACCACAGGCCTGGTGCCTGCCAAAGTCAGAAAAGGGCATCAGATCCAGTGGAACTGGAGTTACAGATGGCTATGAGCCACCATGTGGGTGTGCAAATCAAACCAGGGTCCTGTGCATGAGCAGTCAGTGCTCTTAACTGCTGAGCCATCTCTATAGTCCCCTTAGTATATTTTCAAAATTGTGTCATAAGGTCCAAAAATTGCTACCCACATTCTTAGCATTCCTTTCTCGTGTCCTTCATCTGCCACCCTGCTCTCAAGAAAGCCATGTAGTAAATGACGTTTTAGATAGCATCTTATGAAGCCAAGGCGAATCGCCACAGAATTCTTTGACATAAGCATGTTGACCATAGCCATCCACTATACTAGCACAAAGAATGGCCTATACTAAATGTTCAGTTAAGTACTGTAGATTAACTGGTTGAATTCAGTTAAGTACTGTAGATTAACTGGTTGAATTCAGTTAGGTACTGTAGATTAACTGGTTGAATTCAGTTAGGTACTGTAGATTAACTGGTTGAATTCAGTTAGGTACTGTAGATTAACTGGTTGAATTGGTAGGATGTGGATGTCTACATTCCCCAAAAATATCACATTGGAGCCAAACAAATAATTAATAATAATTAATTGGCAATATTATAAACTGGTGAGTCACTGTTTCTCCATGGAGGTTGATAATCCTGCTGCTAAGGCAGCAGAAGTAGGTTGGAAACAGACCCGAGAGCACGTATTTAGAGACTTTCTTGCCAACTCTCCCCTTTTACAAGACCAGAGCCCTTAGCTCCACTGTGAGCCATGAGGCTGCTCACCTGCCGCCCTTTCCTTCTCACAGATGAAGTTATTGATCTCATCACACTGGAAGTCATTCCACTGCCCAGCGTAAATCAGCCCAGCACAGTCTTCTCCTGGCCCGTGGCCATTTCCCCAGTTGTCTGGCTGTCCAGCTTTCCAGTTTCTTTTAACAAAGCAGAAAAGGGGTGTTATCGACACAGTATGCAGAGGTTTTTTTTTTTGCTCAAGAACACCAGAGGATTGCAAAAGCATAAACCCGAAGCATACCATTTGTTGCGGAATAAACAGGCATCATTTAGAAAGCAGTGCACACTTTTATTTAGCTGTTTGCAGAGGAATGTGAAGTGTAGCCTGGCCTTGCAGGCTCATTATCTCTGCCGTAAAGACATCAACCCAGTAAGCCTCATATTACTGCAGAGGGGATGAGTCCTTTGACATAGGGTGAATGGCTTTTAGCTTTGTCCAGCAATGTGGATTTCTGGACATGGATCTATAGTTGAGCAGGGATAATATGCACTCTTGGGATATCTCACACAAATGTATATGCACATAGCTTTTGTGAGACTACACAGGGACTGTGGACATTGGTGTGTCTTGTCTCTAATATGTCTAAGGGTTGGGAAGACAAAGTGAGAGCATATTGGTGCACATTTACAGAAACCCGCAACCACAAACACTTGGCTGTGGCTGTGGCTCAGCTGGACTTGGCTGACAGCTTCAGAAAACAGTAATTTAATATTACTGAAAATTACTCAAGCATTTCTCTACTTCTTTTGGGAAAGAACTTTTCATTTCATTTATTACACACACACACACACACACACACACACAGAGATACTGCGAGAACACTAGCGAGCATACACATGTGCTATAGTTATGTGAAAGTGAGAGAACAACTTGAGATAATCAGTTCTCTCCTTCCACCATGTGGGTCACAGAAACAAATTCAGATCATCAGAATTGGTGGCTGTTCTCTTTAATATACATTTTATTCAAGTCTACCAGTAATGATGAAAGGGAACAATTCTGATTTTATTTATATGATTTGATATCTCTGATTCCCAATTGTATAATAATGTATTTGATAGTCTTGATTTTTCAGTTAATTGTAAAAACTGTATGTGTACACACATACATGCATGCATCTACACCCAAATAAGCCCATGTGTATGGTTTATTTGGACTAGAGGACCTGCTTAATTCAATTCTCTTGCATTTTCTTTTACACCATTTAAAGTCATATAGGTAAGAAGAGCTGAGAACTTAATTAAACAGAAAGGGAGCCTTTCTCAACTGGGTTCCTCAGATCCTCAGAATTCTTTACAGAGTTAGCAAGGATTTCCTTGTGACTAAAGGCAGCACAAACTCTGTGGTGTCCGGAATAAGTGGGAGACAGTCCTATAGAATGAGCACCTGGGGTCCCAGGGTATCTCTGGAAAAGCTAAAATCCCATGGAATAAGCTATGACAAAACACTCAGTCTATATGCTTGTAACAGAGAACAGAGCATGCCAGATAATCAGAATGTATCTGTAATATTCTGGAATACTAGTTTAAACAGTGCCTTGATTGTGTTCACAGGTAGACTCTGACGGAATAACTTGAGCTTGGCCATATTATAACACATGTCACATTAACACAAATGCTCCTAAGCCCCTTGGGGATCTTGGGAGCACTTGCACAGACAGCTGTAGTGATTTGCAAACACAAATGAGCTATGGTGAGTAGAACACCCCAGGATTTGGGGCTTGACCTGATGGTAGCAGAGTCTACACTCTCTTTCTTGGGACTAGTTTCTTCCAAGATTACCCAATACTGTAGCTAAGAAGCATCTGTTGGTGAGGGCCTGGTTTCTAAACAAGAAAGTGTTATGGTAAGAAATGTTTCCTGAAGCAAGATATTCTCCTACTATAAGGGCCCCTGTTGTGGAAGATTCCTCTCTGGTGGCCTGGGCCAGTACTACCCTGGCAGGAACATGAAGTGTTGATTAGCATGGGCTGTTGCTGAAGTAGTAGAAACTGAAGAGTCCCTTCTGGCCACACTGCTCTGTGGCTTACTACTATAAAACTACAATATGGAGCTATGTAACTAGACAGGGCAGTCTTCCTCCAAGCGATCACAGCACCCAATTTACACGTCAACACGCACAGTGTGGAGTCTTGTATGCAGCATCCCTACCACACTGGGTGCTTCCCTGAGTGCCACTGTCTCCCAGAGGCAGCACAAGAGAGCAGACAGAGAGAAGGCTGGCAGACAAACACGGGTGTACCTACTCAGCTTTGGGGCAGATCTAAAATCCCCAGATGGTCCACTTAGAAATTTGTCCACATTTTACCCCCTTTGGAGATGGCCTTTGATTTTACCTACTTTCTCTCATGTTCTTCAAGTGGGGAGATTAAAAGTATAGAACTGCAAGGTACAGCGATGCAGGTCTGAGCTAGCACTTCAGTGCTGAAGGCAGAACATTTTAAGTTCCAGGCCAGTGTGGATCACATATGTAGTAAGACCCTGCTCAGACCTGGCTGTTCCTATACATATTTGAGACTATGTGGCCTCTCTATCCATCATCTCAGTCCCTGTGCAACTCTTCAGCCACCTCTAGTCTTACCTCAGTGCATAGAGACTACCTCAAACGACTCCTCCCCCATGGCACAGTAGCTTCCTGTGATGTGCTGCTATTTGCCTGACTTCTTTGTTTCCAGCAAACTGAAGGCCCTACAGAGATTCCCGTTAATAGGTCCTCTACTTTTTCTCCAGAAGAAGCAAACATGTTTTGAGAAAAGAGGTAAAATTTGAGTTGGTATAGTTTAGTTAGCTTTTAACTTGTCAAGGGTAAACATTATCAGATCCTCTGTGCAGTGCACTTGGATTTCCTATGATTAGGAGATCTACAACCTTGGAGGAGGTCACAAGCCTAATCAAGGCTGGGATTTCCTAGTACTCATAAAAATGTTTGGGTGAATACTGACATTTGGAAAGGCTTTGGCTTCATTATCCTTTCTCTTAATACTCAAAGATGACACTTTGTCAGAAGTGCCCTACTTGACAGCATAGTGACTGTCCACCAGGCTTCCCTATTGGGAATAGACAACTAGTACCAGCAACATAGGCCCTTGAGAGGATGGGATAGGATAAAAGGTCATTAAGGGAGAAGTTGTAGGAAATCAGGAAAGAGTGAACACAGTCTAGAAATTTTGAGAACTCACTTGTAGTCAACAGGCGTCCCATCTAGCCATTTCCACTCATTTTCGTGCTCAGAGTCTGTGAGGCCGATCCAGTGGCTATCTCTCCCCACTGTCTGTTTTTTTATCCATTGCTGAAATAGAAGTCAGGAAGGTTTGTTTATTATAGCCCACACAAAGAAGGTCTTGTTTTTTTGGTAAAATTCACAAAAGGCAGTTCTCAGAGTTTTTATTAACCCTTGCAATACATTTTGTATTATGTTTATTTTGTGGGCACTGTTTTCAGGGGCTTTGACCTTCTGGGTCAAGTTTAACAAGTGATAGTAATATTCTTCCTCGGAGTTTCTAAGGATGACTGCTGAGTGTCCTGTTTCCCAGCAACCACCCATCCATGAGCTTCTACCAAAACTGATGTATCAAAGACAAGTTGCTGAGCAGTTGCTTGGGCCCTGGCCCAACTGCTGATTTTCTTATGCTTCCTCGGTTACTAAAAAAACCAGATTTCAGGGTTGTGTCTGATGGAGATGGTTGTCAGTCAAGTCTTAGCTCTTCTTTTGCCTTTTGCCTTGTGAGAAGAAGCAGTGTACACGCCTATATTCCCATCCTTGAGGAGTGGATACAGGGAGACAGTCATAGGTTTTAGGCCAGCTTGGCTTCTACTGCAAATTCCAGACCAGCTAGGATAACATAGCAAGGCTTTGTTTTAAAAAACCAAGGGGGAGAGGATGGCAATTATAAGGTTTATATTGCAGGGTTGTTATGAGGTTTAAAAGGGGGACTTGCACACAACAGGGGCTTAATAAAGGGCCACGATCATTGTCACACACAGGCCTTTACCAACTTCTGAATCAACAAATCTGGTTTGTGGCCCTCACCACAAGCCAACTCTCTCTCTCTCTCTCTCTCTCTCTCTCTCTCTCTCCCTCCTCTGTGTGTGTGTGTGTGTCTAGTGGCAACTCCCCCTTCACTTTTCTACTATACTGAAATTCTCCAGAAAGCAACCAAGAGGCACTATTTATCAGTAGGCTTAAGCATCCCGATAGTGCCTATGCTCTAGTCCCAGTCACGCCTGCAAACTGCAGCCTTCCTTGTTTATGAGGCCATGGATTTTGATCTCTTTGACTTCCTAGGATGCATGCAATTTCCAGGTATAACTGATCTCTAAATTATAATATTCCCCAACCAAGTGTGCAGCTAACATACCTGTTCCTCCCTTGAGTTTATGAAAACGAGATGTGACGACTTGTCTTCACAGAAAAGCTTAGCATCCTCAAAAATTTCTTTTTCCATTGAAAAATAGTAGCATTTATTTGTGAAGTTCTTCCAGTGAGGTGGGCAGCCTAGAAATGCAAAGTTTTTACATAATTGATTTAAAAAACACAGAAAGCACTCTTCATTTCCTCAGCTGTGTTTTAAGATACCAAAGGGACAGTGTCATGCCAATGGAAGCCTGGCGTCCCTGGGCGCAACCTTTAAACTGTAGAGGACACAGTAGTAAAAACTATACTACAACCTGTAAAGTTGTGACTGGGCTTTTGTTTTTTCTGCACCAGGATCAGACTTTATACTAGCAGAATGAAGAAAGTGGCATCGGCTCTGATATTGCCAGTCTCGGATCAGCTACAGCCTACAAACTAGTGCATACAAGTGTTCAGATCCAAAGTTCAAGTCCTGGGCCAGTATGACAACCCACAAGGCTCAGTTCCTAACTAAGACAGAGTTTTGCAAAAGACTTAAAGGGATGCAAAGGCACCACAACACCTTTTTAAGTAAAACCTGAGTGTGGGCATTGCCAAAGAAACATTGTCTGCACACTGGGAGAGTTAACTGATGGACAGTCTGTTTCTAGGGAGAAAGATGGTCAGAGAGTAACCAGTGCAGGATGTCTGGAAGGAAGTGTTTGGGGTGCATGTGTCTTCTGAGGGCCTGGCTTACCTAAGTGACTAGAGACCTGATAATATCTGGGCATATACTCGGGACCTGAGTGACAGTAGTGAGGCATCAAAGGGGACACATGGAGGTTAGTTTAGCCAGGCATACACACTGCCCTGTTTCTCCCCCAGCACTGGCTAAAAGGGCCATTTGGACTTACCATTGGTCTCTGAGGCTGGAGTCGGCACATTCTGCAGAGCCAAGGGTTCCATTGCTCCTAAGGGGCCTGGGGGGCCAGGTGGCCCTTTGGGCCCAGGTATGCCTGGCACCCCTGGCAAGCCTGGTAGCCCCCGAGGTCCAGGTACACCAGGCTCGCCCACAGTACCCTGCAGTCCTTGAAAGCCAGGAGGGCCCTGGGGTCCAGGGAGTCCATCCTTGCCTGGTGGACCTGGTGGACCTGGGTCTCCATTAGGCCCTTGAGGGCCAGGCTTCCCTGGGGACCCACGGGATCCTTTGGAGCCCTGTGAGCCTTTGGATCCTTTGCTGCCACGCTCTCCAGGGGGGCCTACTGGTCCAATTGGGCCTCTCTCACCCGCAGGGCCAGGAGGACCAGGCTCTCCCTTCTCTCCTTTCTGTCCCTTGTTGCCAGTTGGTCCAGGTGGTCCCTGAGATCCTCTGTCGCCTTTTGGACCCCTGGGACCAGGAGGACCTAAAACATAAAAACAAATATATGAAGTCTGTTGTGAAGGTATATTTGCTTATATAGCCTACAATAAAAAATTTAACACACAAACATAGGCATTAAGGAGTGCTTACTATTTATAATGTATTGTTAGCTTCAAGGAGTAAGACAGAGTAAGAAACAGTTCACCCAACATCTTCCTCTGGCCTCCATATGTGTGCATAGCTGTGCATACATGTGAATACACCACACACACACTACATACATGCCTACAAAAACAAAAATATTAAGACACAGAGATAACCAGGTGAACACACAAGGAGGAGATGGCCATTTGCAATCTAAGGAGAGAGGCCTTGGAAGAAACCAACCTCACCAAGACCTTGACTGCTAAACTGCAGAGCTATGAGGACAAAAATCTGTTGTTCCAGCCAGTTTAAGTCCATGCAAAGCAATACAATGATGTACTGTTTTATTTTTGTTTTTAAGTAATAAGCCTACCCTTCCTGTTCACAGCATTTATGATGTAACTAATGGTGTTCACTGATAAGATCCATGATGATACTGGCACTAACATGCTTGTCATTAACAGAAAAAGCACGCATTTCTCTCTTTTCTCTATGAATTTGGTCTTTGGTTTCCTAAGCCCATCTAAACCTCACTTTATCTGGCAGCTTTACTTGGGACTTTTACGAAATGCACATGCCTTACTGCCAAATCACAGAATGCTAACATCATCATTCTGTGTTAGGAGACATCAGAAGTAAGAGACTTCTGGGTAATGGTGACCTGCCTTGTGTTACCTCATTCCAAGAAGTAAGACTTCCCAACCTATGTGTTAGGTGGATCCTGGGTCCATCCATGGAATGGCTGTAGAGACCTGCTTTCCTAAGTCTGACATTTAAGAGTGGGCCCACTGATCCCTTCTGCAATCTGAGTTTTCTTCTCTGAGCACATTATCCAACCCATGCCACTGAGGGATGACTAAAAAGGCCTTTTACTTCCATCTGTATCTCCTTAAAGTAAGTTAGTGACTGTCTGGGCAAAATGGCATCATAGAGGCTCATACTGGGGAAGGTGCCAGAGAGTTCCCTGGATTGGGTGTATTATTGTAAAGTTCTAATTTAACAGGAACATAATATATAACTTCTCAACCATGTGTTTCCTTCATCATATATGCTAAACCTCAGGAAATCCACAAAATGAAGATCTGTTAGAAAATCTACTCACTTTAGTAACACTTTATTATCCTTCTTTTCTAAACTTTCATTCAGTGATTAGTTTCTCAACTCCTCACTCCAGGGTTTGATACTCTACTCAGCTTCAGGAAATGAATTTATCTGCAAGCATGGCGTGGCTCCTCAGCCTTATCGCTCAGCTCAGTTAGACTTCTTTTGTAGTCTTCCCCAGCTCCAAAGGCACACAGCTCTGTCTCTCATACCTAAATCTAGGATCTCACTCATATGGGGTAGCAGCTTTTTATTGCTTATTATTTCTGCGTAGGATAGTTTATAGTCTAAATAACCCCAATTCCCCAACTGGACATGGCTGAATGTCCTCAACTAATACACACATAGACAGACACTGACTTTTTTCCCCCCAAGAGGGCATCAGACATGGGTTCCAGAGCCAGCACAAAACACCAAGAGATGCTAGTTTCTAAATCACACAAAGGAAAGGGGTGGATACGGGTATGTGGTGCAAGTTTTTGCCTTTAATAAAAATCTCACTATCAATGGATTCCCAACTCGGTTAGTATAAAACCAAGTCTTTTCTTGTAAAGCATTGCACTTATGCACAACACACAGTTTTACAGCAAAATTAAGCTTAGTATCTGCGATTATGCACAGAATAGTGATGTTCTCAATCACAGCTGCCTTCACCTTGCAAAAATTGCCTAGGAGCAGGCACTCCCCAAGGTGTGTGCTCCATTGGTAAGAGGAGTCATATGATAAACTTTGATGACTAGACAAGCTAGATGTTTACTTTGCTTGTTGATTAAAAAATTGATAAAAAGAGCCAAAGCTAATTTAAAAGATTGGCATTGGCCCAAGAGATGTTTTTCTCTGAGACGCTAGTGCCAGTGTCAGCCTCTATAGCTGTTGAAATAAAAATAAAGTAAAACAAGCAGCTGGGGACATGGCTATAAATGGCCAGCTGTGCAAGCCTGACAACCTGAGTTTGACCTCTGAAAACCATGTTCAAAGGCAGCTGCAGTGGCTTGAACGTGTAGTCACAGCTTTCGTGCAGTGATGTCAGTGGCAGAGAGGCAAGCGCATCACCCAGAGGCTAACAGTCACACTAGTCAGTCATGACACAACCACAGAGGAAAAGAGAACCCTCCTCCTCAACAGGATGTAGAGCAGGAATAGACTCCTGACCTCCCTGTGGAAGCTGTGGCACATTTGTACCTGCATGCAGGCACACATATATACATGTAAATAAATAAAAACTAAGTGTTACCTGTTCCTACTCCCCCCCCCCCATAAAATGAGAAAGTATTGCCGGATGGTGGTGGAGCACACTTTTAATCCCAGCACTCAGGAGGCAGAGGCAGGCAGATCTCTGTGAGGTCGAGGTCAGCCTGGTCTACAAGAGCTAGTTCCAGGACAGGCTCCAAAGCTAAAGAGAAAGCCTGTCTCGAAAATCAAAAAATGAAAAAACAAGAAAACTAACTAAAAAACAAAACAAAAAGGGAAATATTTATGAGTATGTATTCAGCAACTTGCATGTCGAGTCGAGAATGTTGTATTGTGTGGAGGCATATGGATGGCACGCAGAGTGCAATTTCAAGGCTGAGTGGTTCTCCGACTCGAGATGTTGAATTGCCAGGATACCCATGTGACAGGCAAAGCTATCACAAGCTCCCCAAGTGCATTCAGACAACTAACAGCAGGGTCTGAGCAATGCTTCATTTGCTCTGTCACCTTGTGGCTCCCAAACGTCAGAGACTTAGGGGCTTTAAGATACTCAATCCTCGGACGTTAGATTTTTTATCACTGTCCCCTTTCTGCTTTGGCATCTCAATTGCAGACTTTGAGAAGTGCCATCTGCTCCTGGATCCTGCTTGAGCCAGTTTTAAACATGACTTCCAACAAAACTTCTGTGTGACATGAAGCCTAAGTTTTGCCTGTCATCCATATTCTTGGAGACATGATGTTAAGAAGCTTGGATGACACAGTGCTTGGGGGCTGAAAGCAGGACTGTCACAAATTTGAGGCAGCGGTAGGTTACACTTTTATTCCAGTTTATCCTGGGATACAGTATAAGATTCTGTCACAACAACAACAAAGAACCCTAATAGAAGACTAGAAGACAGACTAGGTAGAAATAAGAAAGATACAATAATGCAGCTTTCTTCTTATAAAAAAACTACTTTGATTGTAATTAACTGAACTTATTAATCACCTATGTGTTAACTTTCTGTTACTATAGCAAAATGCTTGAGATCATCAACTTAAAAAGAAGAAATATTTTATTTTAGCTTATGGTTTTGGAGGGTTTGGTCCATGACTAACTGGATGGATATCTTGCTTTTGGGCCTTTGGCTGGTAGCACATTGAAGTTGGGAAACCTATGGAGTAAATGATTTACTTTATGGCTGAGATTAAAAAAGAAATTGGCATCTCACAACAAAATCCCTTCAAGGTCAGGGGCAAGTGCCCAGTGAACCAAACACTTCCTGCCAGGCCCTACCTCTCCACTTCCCCAAAACAGCGAGGACTAAGCCTTCAAAACACAGGCCACTGGGGAACATTCTGGATCTAAACTATAACAGTGTGTAATAAGCAACTGTTGACTTAGTTTTACCAAGGTGAAAAAAAATGTGAAAATTAAAAACGAAAGAAAACAACAGATAGTTTGGCATGGTGGCACATGTCTTTAATCCCAGCACTTGCACGCAGGTCTCTGTGAGTTAAAGGTCAGCTTGGTCTATCAGTGAGTTCCAATACAGCCAGGGCTATGAGGCAAGGCCCTGTCTCAAAACAAAACAACCACAATGACAATCCCAAAAATAAAATAATAATAAAAGTATATAATAATAAAATAATAAATAATAAAAAACAATAGATACTATTTGACAATCATTCTGAAGAATCATCCTGAACTTGAGAGTTGACTTCTAGTTCATGCTAACTTCTTGTTCACAGAGAAGGGTATATTTAACTCACGGTTTCTCACCAAGTGACAACATCTGCTTCATAAACTTCCAGCTTCCCTCAAGGATGCCGAAGACACATTCTGGCTAGGGTTTGTGTAGCATGAGGGAGAGAATAGGAAGGCCCTATGAGAACCTAAGGCCTCATATTCCATCTGCCCTGAACGTGGCATTGTTTCCGGATCTTCCAGCCTTGCTACTTACCCTGCAGAGCTTAGTTCAAGGGTCAACTCCTTATCCAAAAATCAACTGCTGGAAGTAAATTCTTCATCTTTTCAACCTTGCCAAATGTGTTGCTCTCTGAAGTCAGCATAGGTACCAGGCTACCGTTTGGGGAAGCCTGAGCCTGGGAACGAGCACTGCTATCACTTGCCAGCTGTTTGAAGTTGGAACAGTTATTTGGGCTTTCTATGTTTTAGACCTCTCTCCTGCAAAAGGAGAACACTAATGTTTCCCACCTTAAGGAGATACAACTATGAATATGGACTATTTATTTGAAGGCTCAGCAGCATGACCAGTACCTGAGTGTGATTCACCTCCAGGTAAGGCTCCAGAAGCCAGCAGGAAGGACTTAAGGACTCAATGTCAATGCCACATTAACCCTGTGTGCTGTGAGACCTCTCCTTATGCACACAATGCTCTGTTTTGTTGTCACTGAAATGTGTTGTCTGTAGGTATAGCACAGGGGAAATCTTCCCTAGGAATTGAATTCACTATCACACAGGTGCTATTTCTAACCCAAGCTAGGCACCTCACTCCATACTTGCTCCTACCTCAACTGAGCCTTCAAAGACTGAAAGGTATACACAGATGAGGGGAAAGTTCCTGGAGAAACAATTTGGTACTCAAATGTTGTCTCATTTCATAA